CATGTAAAAATATAATATAAGCTCTGGCGGACTTGGTTCTATGGTAGGTCTTAAAGGGTTAAGGATATGAACCATTTGGGGTCAACTTGAAGCAAACTATAATTGACATTTGCAAAGCAAAGCGTTTATTTTTGATAACACAAACGTATCTTTACCAGTTACTTTTTCTGAGTAGGTAACACTGTTATCTAGGAGAATACTTTTAAATGTTTGTAATTTCCGTAAGGTAACAAGTCACACACTGCTGGCATGTTTAAGGAGAAACATAATCAACCCAGAATTGTAATCAACATCTCTAAGCAGTAAACAGCAAAGCAAACCCACAGTGGACAGGCGTATTTCCTCACTCTGTCTACACAGAAACCAGTCATGTTGAGTCAGTCCAGCCAGCCTGGAGGCGTTGTTTGGCCAACAGTAAACCAGGGTATCCCTCACTGGACACCACTTGGCTGCTCCTGAACTCTGCACACTAGCCGTCTGGCCACAGGCTTGTAGCAATTGGCAGGCCATGTTCTCCATGTTCTCTGGCAAATGTCCACTCTGAGTTCATAGCTTTTGACCTGTGTGTTGGAGGGATGCATTTGGCTCAGACTGAGCTATATAAACATCAGAGCGTGTAGCTGAGGGCCAGTTTGGCCCTAGCAGTCATGTTTAACACGCTGACACCGGCTGAATTTAAACACCTGATGTTCAGAGTCTGTCTGAGAGCCAGTTACAGCCACTGTCCTTTGGCAGTCTGGACGCCTGTTAGACATCATGTGATCTCATTAAATGAGAGCACTGTACACTAAACACATTTATGAAAACAAGTAAATGCTGCTCAAAGGGCTGCCTCATTATCAACATAGCCATCTTTTAGCTAATAGCATTTACACAGTAGATATAACTCTTAGAGTAGGTTCACATAAAAACAACTTTAAAAAGATTCTAATATTTTTCTCACTTTTTTCATCATTTCTTTCCTGAAAGAACATTTTGCTTTCAGAACATCATCTACAATAAAGCCAAAAAGAAAAGCAATTCACCAACTTTTATATGGAGTAGGTAAACAATGATTTACTCTGAGACAGACATTGTCTGTTTTTTTGATTCGAAATATTAAAATTACTATATATGTGCCACAGTGAGGTTTATATCTTTACTAGGTATGTGTGTTTTTAAAGGGATGCCAAATGCTGTCATTTTTTTCTGTAAAGCAAATTTACCTTGCCTATGGGTATAAATAAAGTTACCTTACCTTGACCTTGACCTTGTACACAACATGCAACTTTTGTTCCTTTCTTAATGGTCCTGTCAGGAGCAAGCATACTGGGGTTTTTTTTTTGTTTGTTTGTTTTATTTTGTTTTGCTTTTGTTGTTGTTTTTAGAAAAAATGTTTCTGAAAATTTCTCAGCATAATGAACATTAACTTCAAAATATATTTTTTTTATTCTGTAAAAATATTAAGTTGCGTCTTTATGGTGCCACTGTTGATTATCTCGTCCTTTTTAAATGTGTTGCTTAAAAAAATTATTGTGCAATTTATTTGGGTTTTTCAAGGGAAAAAAAATCACACTGATGGTGTAGAAGTCTCAAAACCTCAAAAGGAGCTAATACTTCAGTTGTACTTTATGTTTTGTTAGAACAGCATGTTGTCTTATGTGTATGCTTCCTGTTATGTTAAAATAACAACGCTGTGACACCATGAGTGCAGTGGGTAGCTGTTTTATAGACGGTGTTATAGAATGAACGCTTAAATATGAGTAATTCCAGCATTGGCAACTGAGCACCACGGCCTACCTCGCTGACCACAGCCTGATCTCTATCATGCAAACGAGGGCTGAGCTTCATCCATAGGGTGTCTGGGCTCAACCTACGAGATAGAGTGACCTCAGGCATTGAGCAGGGACTTGGTTAGAGCTGCTACTCCTCCACTTTGAGGAGGATGTGTTTCAGGCATTTTCTACTAAGAGGAGACACTGGAAAGATTATGTCTCTTTGCTGGTTTGTGAACACCTCGATGTTGCTGCATACGATCTAGACTAGACGGTGGCCAGGGACAAAACTGACTCTGAAGCTCTACTTTGACCTCTGTGACCTGGACCCACATAGCAGCAGAAAATGGATGGAGGGATATTTTAATTCATAGCTTGCCTGAAAATCTATGCATTTTTAAGCTGTCTTCAGTCTATTGAAGTAACCCAGTGTATTTGCATTATAAACACAAACTGCTACTAGGTGAATCTTAAAAAAAAGTTGATGATTAAAATAGCACATAGCCTGACATACACTGAGGTTATAAGCTCCATATCCGCTAACAAGAGATCTACTGTGTCATATTCACCACTGAAGCGGTGACAGATAAAGTAATGGAAACAAAGCTGTAAATCTTTACAGCAGGTAACAAACTTTGAATGTCAGCGAGCATGACGGCCACTGATTCAGACAGACGTACTGAGGGGGGGCAGGGGGGTAGGGAGGCAGAGTTGGCATGGATTCCTACCTGTTTGAGAGCGGTTGGCGATCCTCCAGTCAACGCGCCACCCTGGCTGCTTTCTCTCCTCCCAGCACTCCCGCCATGCCTGCATGCCCCATTTCCACTCACACTGGGGACACAATCAGAAAAACACCAGGAACAGACATGAGCAAATCCAGTTACTAATCAGGTAGCCATGGTGGTATGACACAGTATCACAGCAGATATATTTTTTCAAGTGTGAGGGTGAAAAACTCACATATTTTGAGGCTAGGTGGGTAGTGAAGGTGTAATGACTACACATATCAACGAACACTGATCAAGTCTAACTGGGAACCCATTATTCGTACCCTTTCTTATGGATTACTTGTATTTCCTTTCACCTTTTACTTTAACTGTTATTCATTATCTAACAATTTAGTTAGATTTAGAAAAAGATAGTTAGGACTAAAATACAGCTGTCGGCTTTTCAAAGCTCTGTTTTCTTGGCTGCCAGGTCAAGAGTTTGCCCCCTTTAGAGAATTCTGAGAAACATATGTGGTGCAGAAAGCAAATTTTCTTCAAATTGAAAAATTATTTTCACTTTAATGCTGACAATAAAATAAATTATAAAACATGGCAAAAAAAAAGAAAATTGGCATAAAACATCCTGGTCCAGGCTTTCAAGGTAGGTTTGAAAAATAGTAATAAAAGGACTTTAATGTAAAAAACAAAAACAAAAAATGCACTTACATCACGGTGTAGAGATACAAAGACACAAACAGAGAAATTGCACTGTAAATCATGTCCATGTACACAAACAATTTAAATACATGTCAATTTATTTGGCCATGAAACCAGACTAGGTTGAAATACACAACACTTCTTCCTATAATAAATACAAAAATACTTGAAAATTGCTACATTTTGGCTCCAGTTTCACTTTGTTACAAACTTAACATGTTTCCTTCACAAGAAGGTATGGTACTTCACATTAGAGCAGACATCTATTTTTGAGGAGTTCAGATGTAGATATTAGTTTTATTTTATTTATTTTTTCCCCATGGAAGGACAAGAAGAAACTATGTACTGCTCATTAACTTATATTTGTCATCAAAGATCCCATTTCATCTCCCACCACTTGGCCTTCAACATGCAGTCAAGTACATTCTTTATGGAGATGGTTAAGAAGAGTTCTTGGGCTGGTTTTCACCAAAGTTGCTGTTGGTCTTGTGGTATTATCCCAACCCTAACCCTAACCTCAACCTAGGGTAAGGATTTAAAACCAGGGCTGGACATAAGTGGTCCGCAGGTGCACATTCGCTATCAAAATAAAAGACGCGCACCAGATAAGAAGTTGCAACACGCGTTTGCGTACATAAGTTGTTCTGGAGGAGGACAGAGTTCAGAACTCTTAAAGATGTCAAAGAAACAAGCTCCGTAAGCAATTACTTTGCAAAAGAAGCGTGTATTCCCAGACATTCAGAGAAATTCCAAGAATACGCGCGTCTTTTGTGGTGGAGGAACACCAAAGTAATTCCTCCATATTCCTTGATCAACTTTAAGTAGTATTAATGCAAACTGGAAATGTTCAGGAACCACAGGATAAGGTCAGTCACAACCTGACAGACCATAAAAGTTGCCTAGGGTCGCTCTGCTGACTCACTAACTCTAAAGTGTCAAACCTGTTCTGGCTTTAGGATAAGCACAGAAAACGTGCATCAGAAGCTCTATGGCATGGGTTTCTAGCAGCTCCTTTAGGTGTAATGTGTAGGTGGCCCAGTACTTTGGTCCATATAGTATATGTTCTCTAACTTGCAATAGTAAACTAACACAGTTGTGGAGACTTACAAAAGACCTTCAGTTGGGTTTTGAAGGAATTTGTACTTTACAAAAACCATTAAAAAACAACCTCATAGCCCAAAACATTAGCGCAAGAAAGGGATACAGAAAAATAGAGTAGAAAGAAAACCTCAAACTTGTGCAGCCAGCAAATATTAAATTCTCTTTCATCCTGACATTAATTTTGTGTAAAGGATCCTAGCTGATTCAAAGCTGGGTCTCCTGCTATGACCATGCAGTTGACAGTTGAAGAGTCCACCCTTTCCAAGCCGGGAAACAGAGTTTCAGGCGCGGAGAGAAACCAGGAGCATTCTGTCATTCAGACTTGACCACACGTGTAATATGTGCCAGACTACCATCCTGTGCCAGCACAGAGCGAGCTGAAAAATTTTTTTTTTCCCCCTGCACCAACACAAACTTTATTTCCAGCCTGCTGTACTAGTCATATTTGCCTTGTCGGGACCTTGTTCGGTTCCTAAAATGTAAATCAAGTTGAAGCGTCACCTTTTTCAGACACTGGAGCATTTCCAGAAACACATTGCAGAGGTACAAGTAACAAAGTACTTCTACAAAGTGATCAAAAAATAGCAGCCACCATGGAAATGTTCATGTATAGAAGTGTACAAGATGAGGCTCTTGAATGGGAAATCAAGATTTCCAAAGATTCTCAAAACCTTTTTTTTTTTACGCCTTGTAAAATTGTCATCCATGCAACCTTGCAACCATCCATCCATCTATTGGGGTGATGGAGCCTATCTCAGCTGGTATAGGGTGAGAGACAGGGTAAACCCTGGCTAACACAGAAAGACAGACAACCATTGGTCCTCACATTTACACCTTGTATAACTGCTATAAGGAAAAACAACTTCTTAACATCGTTAATTCTAGTTTAGAACATTGTTTAGGATACGTAACATAAACCTACCCTAACTAAAAGCTATCTTTTTATAGAATTTTCATCTGATTGAAACACCCAAACAGAAAGGATTTTAACAGGAAAAACTGCAATGTCAAAATATAAGAGACTTCATTCGAGATGTTACATCTTCTAATTTCCCAAAATGTGATTATTTAGCATGTGTCTTAAACAAACCCCAGAGGTTAAAGCAAAGGAACAGAAAGTGAGGAAGACAAAGAGAAAGAGAGAAAAAGTAATAGGAGACAGAGTTGGGGGTAAAGCTCAGAAGGAGGGGCGATGAATTCCCAAATCTAATCTGAGTATAATCAGGGCACTGCCCCAGTGTCCTAACCCCATCTACACACACTTACACACACAAACCACAAGGATGTTGCCTATCCATAACCCCCAGTGTGTGGGCTGCGATGTTCCCATGACCCACTTAACACATCTGGGTCAGCTGTATTCAACTACCAACTAATACATATACACACGTACACATCCTGCCAGGTACATTAAGACAAATGAACACACACGCATGCAGGTTCAGATAAGGCATGGGGTTTTTTTTCAAACTCGTTTGAGTAAAAATGATTGCTTATCCACTCCTCATTACTGCAAAAAGCCCCATATATGTCTCATTATATTATAAACCGCAGCACTGTTCAACAACTATTCACTCCTCCAGAGTTCAGCAGCGGTTATTTTTCAGAGCATTTACTCTTCTAAAGGCCCAGCTCGAACTGGAGCAAAGGCCGAATGTGTGGCCCCACTTCACTGTATATAAAGAGCACTGTGAGACGAACACCTTTGAGAGCCAAAAGGTTGTCTCGCTAGTTGTCGAGCTGGATGTAAACTAGTAAGTTTTTCTGGCGCGTTGGGGCCTTTTTGCAGAGGCAGGAAGCGAGAGAAGGGCACATGAAGAGAGCGGTTAGGCTCTTTAAACGCAGGGGTAGTACTGGCTGCATCGCTTCCAAAAATAAAAAAGGAGAAAAGAAAAAAAAAAGAAAAAGAACTTTTGAAGTGTGTTTGTGTTTGAGGCGAGGGAGCAAAGGTGTGCTTTTGCGTTTGAGGCAAAAGCCAGGAGTATCTTCAGTGTGTGTGTGTGCGCGCGCGTGTGTGTGTGTAAGTCCCTCTTGCCAGTTTTAAAAACCATCCGTAGCCCAGGTAAATGGCATGCTGTCCTCTGCACATGCCCAGTGGCTTTCTCTTTCTCTTCACAGGAAAGAGTTCAGAGGGCCAGTTAGCACCGTTCACAGCGGACCCCGAGGCTTCTCTCAAACACACAGCCCAAAACACACACAACCAAATTCATGCACAGAGAATTCCTTAAGCACACACAGCATACAGGAGGCCACAAACACATTCACACATGCTTGCAGGCTCGCGCAAATTCATGCGGCAGCAGTACATGCATACATACGCATGTGCATGCACACACATGCGCACACACAGTTGGCCCATGGCTAGAGTGTTCAAACAGGCGTGATATTGAAATCCAGCAGTAGGGAGAACAGTGGGTTTTGCTGAGGTCCATAGCAGGTTATTGATCAAGGTTAGTTTACTGTGAAAACTCTGCCTGTGGCCAAGGGCCATTCATACCAGAGGTGTGTGTGTGTGTGTGTGTGTGTGTGTGTGTGTGTGTG